CCAAAAAAAAAATTTTTTATTAAAAAAAATTTAGATAAAGCTATAGAGGTAGTCGCCATTTAGAAGATTTTGGGTTAATATAAAATTATCTATGCTGATCGATTTTCTATGTTGTTATTACTATTACTATGTTTCTATAAATTTTTCTACTCTTTTAGCATACATCATGACATAAGTGTATTCGTTTATGAACTATGTGAACTTCCATATTGAAGGGGCTTACTGCTTTGTTGAAAATGAGTCATAATGAAATAATGCCACATAAAAAATAGATTTTTTTTGTTTTAATATGTTGGAAATTTGTGATATAGTTGCCATTTGAAAAATAAGAAATTTACTATGTTATCCTAGCCCTGCTGATCTTATATGTATCTATATAAAAAATTCCCTGGTTGATAAATGATTTGTGAATTAAGTTATTTAAACTTTTGAACCATTAATATCATTTGAACTTTGCCAATCAGTTATTTAACAGCTGTTTAAGTTTATTTAACAAAATTCATTACAACCTGAAAAAGAGTATCAAATATTATATGTATATTATATGCAATTGTAGAGATTAAGCAAGCATACAATTTGCTTTTTTTTTTTGTTCACAAATTGTATGTATATTATTATTTGCTTGATTTTTACAATTGCGTATAATGGGACATTTCATAGCAAAACCACCTCTGGACTTTCTAACCAAAATTGGTTTTTTGCATAATAATAAAAATTATGGCTATAAATGTCTCAGTTGATCTTTCTAATTTAGGTAATCATATTTCTTTTATTGAAAAGATTTTCTGTGTCATGGAATTTTTTAAATCAATCATCAGCCTTTTAGAAATCACAAGGGAAATTTTACAATTTACATAATACACAGTGGGTCTTGATTTAGCAGATTTAGGGGTTTAACAGATTTTATCTCTAATTGACATTTCTTTTTCATTATAATCTCTTGTACCCTAATAATTAAAATTTAGAAAAATATAAAAAAGTTTCTAGTGGTTTTTATAATCTATTATTAATTTATTTACCTTTGGTGTTTTAAGTGTAAAAGCATGTTTATTTTTATTTTTAGAACTCTCTCCAGCTAAAGAAGATAATTGATTTTTTAAATCAGACAAAACTTCCAATTCTGTATCTATTAAAGTTTTATCAACATCTTGAGTTTTTAATAATCGGATTTTTTCACCCTGCTCTTTAATTTTAAATTTTAATGTTTCTTGCGTTTCATTCATTTCTTTAAGATAATTATTATGTATATTATGTATAAATTGATAACTTGCTTTTGTATGTTGATAATTATGACTAGTACTATTTACCGTCATCTCTAATCTTAACACTAAATAACGACCCCTGTAGATCTCCCGCGGATGACTTGTAGATCGAATAATTTGCAGAACATTTTTTGTGATCACACATGAAAACATTTTTTCAAATTTTGACCTTGAAAAGTTATTGTTATTGTAAATGTTTTTAAGATTGATTTGCCAACAAATTTCGTAGGCATTCATTCCGAAATTAGGGTATCGTGTAACTCCTACAAATTAAAAATAATCCTCGCGATTTTCTGATATATTAAAAAATTTGACTTCAAAAAAGGTCAAAAAAAATTTTTTAAAATATTTTTAGCAATTATTACTTATAACACAATAGATGTTTATACAGCCACTTTTGCAAGAACACCTCTTGGTGGTTTTAATGGACCATTAGCTTCTTTTACAACAATAAAACTTGGCTCCATTGTTGTGGTGGATCGCGGCTAATTTACATAATACATATTAATATGTAAACTCGACAAGTCGGTTTTGGCCTAACTCGGCCAAAAATTTTCGCCCCGTTTTTTTACTATTTAAAAAAATTCGATAAGTCGGTC